CCAAAAACATATTGTAAACATTAGGATGTGGACATAAATTGCTTCTCATTGTGGAAACAAGTGTTGCTGATGATGGTGGTATTGAGCCCATTTCATTGTACCGGAATTGAGTTTGTAATTGTGCATTGTATTGTGTCTTGTGACAACAGGAACATGCCTTGTGAACCTTGTATTCATATACTGTCTGTGTCATTTTGTTGTAGCCCTTGATTTGTCCGGGGAAAACAACCTTTAATTGCACTGATAAATCCACTCACAGTCACAATTATTCAAGAAGTTAAGAATAGTCTTAAGTATCAGTAGTAGTAGTTTATTTGTTCCGTCACTTTTTTCACAACACAGACAATACAGATAATTTGAAAAAAATACGATACAAATATTATGACCGAAAGGGTTTAGGCTGGAGTGAATCACTTACAGAAGCCTAACCCTATTACTTTAACTTATTATGTCCAGAAACTACAAAAATGGCAAAAATCAGCATTCAGCATGGAGAAAACAATAGAAAATACATGTATGTTTTTACAGAAAAGACATATGCAGGTAAATGAGATATTATACAAATTGCTTAAATGGATAAGAAAGATTACAACATTCAGAAATAATCATAATAATAATAACAACAACAGTAATAATTGTTTATTTATTATTTATTTATTGTAATTTGCTATATTTCATCATAAAATGAAGTTTTTGAAAATCTTTGGGGATGTATTCTTTAGTGAGTCATCCAGACTAAAGTGTGGCGTATAGAATAGATACCTGCTATAGGTTTACACATTTGTTGAACTCTTTTCCATTCTGTCCATTCACTTCATGTGCAGGTGTTTGGAATGAGCCACTTCCACATACAGTCCATGTTTATCCTGGGAATCAGTGCAACCTTCTCCCCTTCATCATCCCAGCTGAGAGCGCTCTGAGGAATGCGTGGCCCTTGGCTCAGTGCCTCTTCCACACATGCTGTTTGATGTGGAGATGCTTATTCCCTTGTGCTGCACTATAGTGGGGCTGATGGAGGAAGTTCACTCCGGTGAGGATGGGACAGTGCTGGAAGAGAGCTGTTGTGTGGCAGGACGAGTGTTGTCACAATTACACACATTTCTGATACAATGAAATAAGCATTTGTTAAAAATTTTGATTCCACTGGGAGAAAAACATGATCTTATTTAAAGTAATCAACTGGGTTTGTTAACACACAAAAACAGCAGATTGCAAAATAAAATATTTTGATTAGTGTCAAATTTCTCTGTTCTTTAAGAAAACCTTTTTCAGAGATTGTATGAGCTATGCAACTTTTTAAAAGAAAGGGGACTGCTAAAATCAAATCACAGAAATCACTAAAAGAGGACGCCAGGGAGCTCTATGATCAAAAAGTGTTGTGGATTTTTGGATAAGTTCTGCTGCATTGGCGTCTAAAGAGTAAAGTAAAACCATCTTGTATTTTATTTTTAACACTTTTGTGCTGTGTGATCATGTACGCAGTAAACACAAAGTTTTAATTCTGACAAAAAAATAAAAACGATATAGAAAAAGACACATTTGGTCCTGTTTTATTATTTTTCCTCATCTATACTCTTTCACATGAATATGCAGTTTTGACACTGCATTTAAAATTGATGAATATCCCACTTTTTATGCTTTTTCCCGACACAATCCTTGAGAGCCGGGGATAATCTGTCCCTGAGTTAAATAATCTGCAGTTTATTGCAGTGAAGTGTTCAGTGGTGGCATGTGGCACGTGTATTAGAGAGAAACAAAATTACAGACGGAGTATACATCTGTTCAAGTCTTTGATTGAAGAGAGACAACAAGGTTCGAAAATTACATTGTTGCAAAGCAGTAGTACAAATCATGTTATTTAGATGGATTGACTTTTACAAAAACACTGCAAATATAGACCAAAGGAACAACATTAATTTTGTGTAGAAGAAAGGGTTGGCTGAATATTAAAGCATTTAGATTTTTTATTGCTTTTGCTATTATATTATGTTATATGGTCATCCCTTTTATTAATATTTTAAAAGGATTATAGCTAACATATATATATTACTAATTTAAGTTGCGATTCTTGTGTTACAACCCCTTCACCTCCCAAAAACAATAAATGATCTTGTTTATTTCAGGTCACATTTGAAATCCTCTGCTCATTTCAATAGGCATCTGTTAAGTCAAATACAACACACTTTACTAATTGGTTTTGACCAGAACAGGCTAGGCCATTGTCCCAGCGCTGCAGCATCACACTGACTGCACTTGTTCACTGTATGAAAAGAGTCATGTGGCCAGAGCCTAATACAGATCCCTAGTTTGTAGTTTGGATCCAATACTCAAGACAATAACGCAAAACACCTCCTCGGACCAGCGGGAATGCTGGGGCAAAGAAGGTTCAAACTTCTATGGAAATCTATGTTTGATGTATTTCAGATCTGGCTGGGAGTTTGCTTTTGTCTATTGAGTTCAGTCAAAGTTGTCATAAAACCACGAGATTCACAATTTGGTCTGGTTCTGATTCACTTTTTTATTTTGCCAAGGACTGGTTTAACTTTAATATCCGTACAATCAAATGTGGAAAAGTTTAACGACAATGTCCACAAGTTTCAACCAAATGTTTCCAGGCGATACAAGCATAAAACAATTTGGAAAAACTCACAGACCTCCCCTCAAAACATTAGCTAAAATTCTGTTCATCAACACCTTTAATCTCCATACAGGCATCATAGTCTTTCCCCCATGCCACTTTCTCATCACACCGGTTTTTTACCAATACGTGCAGGAGCACATTTCTGCTCATGTGACCAAGATTTTTCAAAACATGCATTGTTCACACTCAAATGATTGAGTTGTTTATTTCCATGTACTGGACTTGGATTCTCTAAAGGTTAAAACATCAGAATCTATACTCAAACTAGTATCGAAATGAGATACTCAGTTGAGAACATATCAATACTAAAAGATGAATGAGCACTTATCCCACAGAGTCTCTGAAGGTAAATAGTTAAGAAGGACACATGTGTTACATACGAGTCAGAAGTTTAGTTAAACCTTTAGACAGTGATTAACCTCCTTCAAGCCTTTAGTGCAGTTGCATTTACATTGCAAAGCTCAAAGTATGAGTTATGATGGCCCCTCACTGGAGAGTCATTACTCTTGAAGACCTTGGGTTTTCTAATGTAATAGATGTAGTTGTATTTATTCTATCCACACTGATGTAACTAAAGACATGTTGGGACTGGAGAAGACATTGTGCATGAAGTGTCTTGCCACAAGAAGAGTATGTGGGATTCAACCCACAAAGATGAACATGTTTGTAGTGATAGTTCCTTTCTGACTAGGACTGAATTGTATTGGACTTTGGGTGGAAGTTTAATTGGAAGCCACTGTTTTTCAATAGTTTTAGAAAAGACATGTTATGTCATGTTCTGAAATGTTCCAACTTTGTTTTTGATCACAAGTCTGGAGGTTTTGCACATACTGAATATTCACATACACTTCCCTATAAACATACACATTTACCAATGTCATATAACAAAAAAGCTTTTTATTGAAAAAAATGGGATTTGTCAGTTAGATCTGTCAGAAACATTATCCAATGGCTCTTTCAGACACAAAGATTAAAAACTGCCTGAACCTTTTAAGTTCATGTAAATAATTACACAATGATCCTTAAGTTACTTAATGAATGAATAGCACTATATCTGACCGAGACTTGTCTTGATGGCATCCATCCAATCAGTCTTTTACCTCAAGTACCTTTGTGGCCTGTGTCCAGGGTTGCCATGGTTACAAAGTATAAAATGGGGGCTCGCTCTGGTTTAAAAAGGCCGCCTTTTGCTAAAAAACACACATTTTGGGTTTATTTGTACACTGCGCTGCACAAAAGACTTGAATTCTTCTCAATGGACTCCTGCTGTGTAATTCTGGCACACAGCTGTCCATACATTCAGACAGCAGAGCCTCTGCGCACAGCACCCATGGGAAAAAATAATAAAACATCCAATTACTACAGTGTACCAAAATAACCGTTATGTCCTGTTCTTTTCACCTGGTGCTGTTTTTATTGCTCATGTAAGAAGGCCACATTAACAACGTTGTCATCAGTAATTACTTGTGGGCTGGGTCAGGATGAAATCATTGTACTTTGCTTGATAAGCAAAGTACAAAGGATTTGGATCTATTGTGGGTCTTGTAATTGTGTAAAGTTACAATGTTAAGAAAAAATAGCGACATTGGGTTCAAAACAGTTATTCAGAAAAATAAATTTGCATAATTTTCCAAGACAAAGTGAGAGCTTCATGTTTCTATTATGTTGTGATGTTGTTTATTTGGAACACAGCAGTTGTACAATTATTTTCTAATGTACTGTACATCCACACTCATGAAACTTCCAACTACAAACTCACCAGAAATTCTAGTTCGATTTTTACTTGCATTGTTAGGAGTAGATTTTTTTATTGTATATTATCTGTTTTTGATAACTTCTTTCGCTGTGACTAGTCCTGCTCCACCCAGCGGCTACACCACCTCTGCTGCTGTGACCTAAAGCACTGTTGCACTTTATTACTATTGTTAGTTACTTCATTAATTACTGTATGTATTCATTTGTTTGTATGGGTGGATGTGTTTCTGCTGCTGGACCCCCTAATTTCTTCAACGGGGGTTCAATAAAATATCTATCCATCTATCTTGGGTGTCTTTCTTCACTGTTTTTGTGTTTAGTGTGGTGTGGGCCCAAGATACATTCAACTTTATTATTTATTATTATTATTATTATTTATTAAACAGAAAAGTGATAAAGTGAGCTGAGGGCTCAAACAGCCGAGTGACTCTCAGCTCAGTGAAATAGTGATTTGTAGGGATCTTTCTTGGTGAGCAAATGATTACGTTGGATTTTACAACTACTATTTTTGACGATTATTTAGGATCATAAAGGAATACTTTGCACAAAGCTAAAAACCTCATCTATATGTTTACAGACTCCATAAAAGAAGAGCTTGGACGGCATGCAAAGTTGTGAAATTTCCTCAGACAGCACTGATGATCCTCTTAGTAGTGGCCTACGCAGCCATCCACAGCCTCGAATAGTAGTTATCGGCGCGGGCTTGGCCGGCCTGTCTGCGACCAAGGTCCTACTACAGCACGGTTTCACAGATGTAACCCTCCTCGAAGCGGCAGACCACATCGGGGGCAGAGTTCTAAGTGTCCCCAACGGTGAGCGTGCACAGAACAAATCTACAGACCTTAATGCTTATACAGCTACAGTAGACACTGAGTTTCCGCTCTATTTCCTCGCACATGTCATATATAGGACTGCCTATAGAAACACTGTTAACTGTGAAACCTGATTATTTATATGTATCTGTGTGTGCGTGCATGCGTGTGTGTGTGTGTGTGTGTGTGTGTGTGCATAAGAATATATTTGGGTTGGGGTGTTTCTTGGTTAGTGAGGTTGTCGGGCCATGGGCATGTGGGATTGTTTATAACCAAACTGTAGAGCACTTTGTGTTGACTGCATGACGCATTAACTGTATGAAAAGCGCTTTTAATTAAAATGTGATTGATTATGATTTATAAACTGCTGTTTGTAAGTATAATTATTTAAAGATTGGCCTTCGCATTTTGTCTGGGGCCGATACAGATAATTAGTAAAGGGGGAAAAAATCAACTTGAATGGTTGATTCCTATTTGCAGTAAAAATTAAGATCCATCCATCCATCCATCCATTTTCTACCCTTTAATCCATTTCTGGGTCAGGGGGGTGGCAGTCAGAGATGCCACCCAAGTCTCATAGCACCAGCCCCTCACTGACCCTCTGCAGGTGGTGAGTCCACAGGAGGACGGCTGCTCTCTGAGTGTGAGCATAGCCTTGATCTTTCAGTGGGAGCTTTGGGCAAAGTGGGGTTAAGTGTCTTGCCCAAGGACACATTTAGACAAAATAAAGGACAAAATTAAGATATTATGTTGTAATTTTTCATAATACAAACTCCAACAAAAATAATAACTCCCACTGTACAGACAGGAAGTTCTGTGAAAGCAGAATTAAATTATGGAGTGTGGGAGACTATGCTGTGGACAGGTCTCCCAGGTAAAAAGGCGCTGACTTCTATTGGATGGGATTCCACCCAAAGAAAGTGTCTTGTTATTAATGTAAATTTTGAATGAAGTGGCGCGACGGTGTTGCAGTTGGTAGAGCATTGGCCTTTGGGCCTGAAGGTCGTGGGTTCGAGCCCACCACAAGACCTACCACTGATGTCTGCTGTCGTTAATGAAGACTCCTGTGGACTCACCTCCTGCAGGAGGATCAGTGAGGGGCTGGTGCTCTGTGAATTGGGTGCAGCTCTGTTTGCCACTCCCCCCCAACCCAGAAATGAATTAAGTGGAAGAAGATGGATAGATGGATGAAGTAAACTAAACCTTACCCAAACATGGCTTTGTACAAATACTCTAAGCAGGACAGGGTTACAACAAGTTCTGAGCAATAGACTTAAACTTGTTTGTCTGTTTTAGTCGATCGATTTCACAGTGACATTGGTTTACTGTTTTATTTGTTTTATTTCTGTCTTTTAATGTTGTTTTATGTCTGTATTTGTCTGTGCACACTGGAGACTTTTTGCTAATGTATTCCAATGTGGTGTTTTTACTGCAAATGGCAAATAAAGTGAATCTGAATCTGAATCTTCAGATATCTTTAGTTGAGTTGCTCTAAATAAACTGTTTTCTGTTGGGATTCAGGTTAGACAGCGGTAATTAAATTCCCCGTTGGTTTTACGTTATCTAACTGTCAGCTGACTCAAGGCGTGCTGCTTCTTGTATGCGTGAAGTGTATGAGCACATAACACTGATGCTCCTTATTTCATGTCTACAGGAAAGTCGACTTTAGAGCTCGGAGCCACCTGGATACATGGGGCAAATGGAAACCCAGTGTACCACCTGGCGGAGGACAATGGGCTGCTGGAGCACACCACGGACGAGGAGAGGAGTGTGGGGCGGATCAGCCTGTACACCAAGAGCGGCGTGGCACACTACCAAACCAATGCCGGCAAGAGGATCCCCAAGGACCTGGTGGAGGAGTTCAGCGACGTGTACAGCCAGGTTAGACCACTGAGCTCTGGGCAGACAAGGACAGACCATGCTGCTGGACATTTAACGTAACTCACAAGATGCATATTTAATGGTCTTGGGCATAAACCATAAGTTTCATTTTTCACATGTTTTGTCGTTTTCAGCTATGTTTGTCAACATCAATCTGTTGTCTGCCAAGTGCTGTGTGACGCTCCTGTCAGGATTAGTGCTCGCCAGTATCTAGGTCACTTCTGGAAAAGTAGAGAGAGAGAGCAGCAAAAACACTCAATTTCATGATTATTATCATTTATATTTTTTTATTTTGGCGTCTTTATCCTACTTATCTTCCGACTCCACATGTTTGAAAATCTTTGGAGTTATTTGTAAAATCATAATGGTGTGACTTTTTGATTAGTTGTGAAACATTGGTGATTTCCATCTGGAAACTTCAGGGTTTGGGGCCGCCAGGTGCAGACATGCTGAAGCTGAAGCCTGACACCGGAGTGAGGTGGCCTGACCCTCTTGTGTTACTGCTGCAGGTGTACGAGCTGACACAGGAGTTCTTCCAGAGGGGGAAGCCTGTGTGCGCTGAGAGCCAGAACAGTGTGGGCGTCTTCACACGGGACGTGGTGCGCAAAAGGATCATGCTGGATCCTGATGATTCAGAGAGCACCAAGAGGCTCAAGCTGTCTATGCTGCAGCAGCACCTCAAGGTGAGTGTCCAGGTCATGACGCATCTTATCTCAGCATTAGAGTCAAGGTGACAGCACTGACGTGTAATGGATACAGTGAAGGCTACGCCACCTGCTACTCTTCAAACGCGTGATTGCTTTGCACTAAAATAATATGGCATATTTATTGTCCTAATGAAGACAGCTGACAGCAGATGAAATGGGTCATTTCATCCCCATTTACTGTAACAATTTAGATCATTTTAAGTTTTATTATTCACACAATTACATAATGAATGATAACCTAAACTACTGTGTTAGAACAACATGCCACAAAGAGATCTCCACTGATCCATCAAAAATGGCGCATGGAAACATAATAAATACTTGTTAATATGTGTATGTTTAGGCTAGTAAAGGCAGCTCTTTTTAAATCTTTGTCCCAGGTGGAGAGCTGTGAGAGTGGCTCTCCCAGTATGGATGAGGTGTCCCTCAGTGAGTTTGGGGAGTGGACAGCCATCCCTGGAGCACACCATGTCATTCCTGGAGGATTTATGAAGATAGTGGAGGTCCTGGCTCAGGACATCCCATCCAACACTATCACACTAAAGAAACCTGTGCGTTGTATCCACTGGAACTACTCCGCAGAACAACCGGAGGTGATCACCAACCAGAACAACAATCACAACGACAACAGCCACCAGCCCCAGGACGCTCTCATCCTGGGACACCCCATCTCTGTGGAGTGTGAGGATGAAGAGTGGATCCCAGCGGATCACGTGATCATCACTGCCTCTTTGGGCGTCCTGAAGAAGAACCATGAAGTCATGTTTTCTCCTACTCTCCCTGAAGAGAAAGTGTTGGCAATTGAGAAGCTCGGCATCAGCACCACCAATAAGATCTTCTTAGAGTATGCTGAGCCCTTTTGGAGCCCAGAGTGCAACAGTATTCAGTTTGTGTGGGAGGACGAGGCTCATCTGGAGCAGTTGGTTTACCCTGAGGAGCAGTGGTATAAGAAGATCTGCAGCTTTGATGTGCTATATCCCCCCGAGCGCTACGGCTACATGCTGAGCGGCTGGATCTGTGGACAGGAGGCCCTCTTCATGGAGCGCTGTGATGACGAAACTGTGGCGGAGACCTGCACTGAACTGTTCAGGCGGTTTACAGGTGAGGATACTTGCATCATGTCATCATTTAGTTAAGTGTTCATCATTACTGGTAATTAACAACATGTTCTAATGTGATTTGGGAAAAGATACTTGCCTGTTTTTTACCACAAAGGTTTGTTAACATAGTGACTCATAGCTTACTGTAGCTGGGAAAGAGACACAGTGATTGATGATGGAAGTCACGTGCTGAAAACCCCCAGTGCAGCACAACAGTGGATGACTCAGGTGGAGGGTGCGCTCTCCTGGACGCATGTGTCACCACCACATTCACACTCTGGGATTAATGATGCGGACGATAAGGTAAAGTGTGCTTAGCTGCTCGGCTTATGTTAGAAGTATGTTGAAACACAGTAAGTCTGAGTGAGTCGTTACATCCTTAGACATGGTTTTAGGAGGAGCCCATGCTCCTCTGTGATTCCGAGAACTGTCCTGCAGCTGGTTGCCTGTGCTCGGAAATAGGTCAAATAATGTTTTCAAAAGCACCGCTGTCGTGCTTGATGAGGCCTGTGGCTCTCCTGTGCACCCCCCACACACAGACACACACTGTGTGACATACAGCTCCATCTAGGTCAGCATGCTGTAATCCTTTCAGCTGTTGCTAAATTACATATACATAGAGAGTTTACAATGACTCATGTGGTCAGTCAGACCTTTACTGTAAATGCAGCACTCACATAAACCGCTCAGAATGCCATGGATTAACTTGACCACAGTCCAATTAAAAGAATTAGGAGTGGCACCAAGAGCAGTAGCATATGTCTTTATTAAGGAAGGTAATGCGATCACTTATCTCGGTATCTGGAGGCTCGTAGAGTCTCTGTCCTCATCATTCAGAGCTCTCCTTATTTCTCTTCACATACAGTAACTGGTGGTACCATCATCACTCTGGTTATAAAAATTGTACAATAGATAAGATAAGATAAGAATTCCTTTATTTGTCCCAAAGTGGGAAAATTTCAATGTTGCAGCGCACATATAGGACATTAGTAAGTTGCAACTTCAGTTGTAATTCTGAAGTTGCAGTATTGCACATGATTTAAGAATAGGTAAACTCTTCAAAGCATCACATCTGGAGATGGGCTATCGAGTGCTACCCTGCGCTTCTGTTTAAGCTCCTCCAGATTGAAATACAATCTGAGACATGTGGTGGTTTATATCACAATAACATTAATCATTCACTAAAGTTGGATTGATGAACACTTGCAAGAGGATAGCTAATGTATGTTTTATTTTCTATGTAAAATACAACAGTTTGATTCAAGTATGCTCTTTGATTTACAGGGAACCCCGACATTCCAAAACCTCTGCGTGTGCTGCGCTCGTCGTGGGGCAGTAACCCGTACATCAGGGGCTCCTACTCCTTCACCAGGGTGGGCTCCAGTGGTGGAGACTGCGAGCGGCTGGCCATGCCACTGCCTTATGCCAACAGCACCAAGGCCGCGGTAAGAACATAACCTTTACCTTAATTGCACTTAAAATTAACATGCACTGCTTCAAACATTTGTATCCAACATAAAAGAACCTTTATTGGAGAAATGTCAGTGTTTCACTGTAAATATTTAGAGCAGTTCTTTCCACCAAAGTGGGGTTAGAAGGGGAATTAGTATTATTATCAGTATTATTATTATATTACTGTTACTAGCTTTTACGGCAATAATTTTCTTTGGAGGGCCACATTGGGAAATTGCACTATTGTGGAGGTCCGGAGCCAGTTTCACATGGTTAATCTTGTATTTAATTTAGCAAAAAGCTACTTAAATGACATGAAAGGAAGGTTGCTCACCCAATAACACACTAAGGTCTGCTACGAAGCACTTGTAGCAGACCTTAGATGTGTTAATGGGTTAGCCCCAAGATCAGGGGGTGGATAACCACACCCACAGGTAATACATCTCCAACTCACAGCTGAGCTTCCATTTCCTTGAAAAAGTTATTTGGATAAGAACTAAACGTCGGGGAAACCTGCTAACTGACGTACAGATGATGCGTGAGAAACCTTCCTTTGTTTTGACTAATCCCAGTACGACTGAGAGCTTACACAAACTTATGAAATACATATTCATTGGATTCATTCATCCAGTGTTTTAACATTTTTGCACTTCAGGTTAAATGCTAAACTGCATTTTGTTGCATTGTTCTGACTTTCTAATGACAATAAAGTTTAATATAATGTAATCTATTTTTGGGTTAGTTTCTTAGAACAGTATAAATGTTTAACACGCCATAGTAGCACATATTAAGTTACAAGTTTTCATGGGGTATTGACTCCTGAATCATTTTAGAAAGCATCAGATCGGTTTGGATCTGCTAGGAAGGGTCCAGGTGCCAAATAGAAATGTGAATCGGGCCGGTAGTGGTCTAGGGGCCACACTTTGCCCAGTTCTGGCTTAAATCGTGAACTGTAATGTATTTTGTTCTAAATATAAAAGGTAAACCATGACACATTCTTCAGAATAACGTGTGGTTCAATAGGGGGTGGAATCTTCTGATTGGTAAGGGGGACTGCGGTACGCCAGACTCAGAGAACCGCTAATATTAGTGGTACATTACTTTAGATGAGATAAGAAATCCTTTATTCGTCCCACAGTGGGGAGATTTGAATGTTGCAGTTCACTTACAGGACAGTATTAAGAACACACAGGGAGCACACAAAATATACAAAATAAGTAGCTGCTATGTTTCTTACTTAGCTGTAAATGCTGAACAAAAATAAAGAAATAAGTAATATATACTGTATGTATACTGTACATATAGGGCAGGATAGTAAGTAGATGAAGTAAAGCGACATTGTTCAGTGGACATTCTGAAGTTGCGGTATTACACACTGTAAATAATGTCAGCCTTATTTACAGATGAATGACATTTACAGGCTCAATAGTTCTCATTGTACAGTCTGACAGCAGCAGAAAGAAAAGACCTGCAGAACCTCTCTTTTACACAGAGAGGGTGACTAAGTCTGTCACTGAAACTGCTCTCTATAGCAGACAGAGGGGTGCAGGGGGTGACGGTCATGGTCCAGTATAGATGTTAGTTTGAAGTTGGATTATTATACTACATTATATCCACTGATGTGCTTATGTTCGCTTTGTAACAACTTCACACGACAAAAGGATTATTGGGGGATTTTCAACAAAATTATGAATCCACTGGGGCTTTTGGGTCACCCACTCGCTGCTTGTCAACAGTTGGTGGCAGTCCCCTAGCACGCTTGGCCAGCTCAAACGTGTCATCACAACCCAAGAGCACATGTAAAGTAAATATCCAGGACATCACAAGTGTGAGCCAAGTCTAGACAGTGAAACCTGATGCATTGTGGGCCGAGTTTAGTCCTGCTCGTTTGAAGTGTGCAGGGAACAGCTTGACCCTCCGCTTCCTGCAGGCCTTTCGCCCCATGTGTGTCCCCGGGTGACTCAGGCTTAAAATAAACAACTCCGCAAAAATCTCTTTTCTGTTTTTCTCCACAGCCATTACAGGTCCTGTTTGCTGGAGAGGCCACCCACCGCAAATACTATTCCACTACCCATGGTGCTTTGCTGTCAGGCCAGAGGGAAGCAAAGCGCCTGATAGAGCGGTACCAGGACTTGCACAAAGACAAAACCACAAAGCCTGAAGTGTAAAAAAAGTATATATATATATATTTAAAAAGGAACCTCAAACTAGTGAACATATTCAAACTTAAAAGCAATGATATGATGTCATAGCTGGGGCATTACATTCTTAACACATAAGTTGTCCTTGTACTGTAGTTTTTAAATCATGACATGCATGTGTTTCTATTTGGAGATGTTTTGTTCAAAATGTTGCCAACGGTGCTGTCATTTCATGTTCTTATCATTTATGTTGTATTATTGTAATTACACTAACTGTAATAATTGTTTTTGTTTTGTAAGTGCCTTCTATCCTCATCTTGTTATTTCCAACGCCATGCAATTTCAACTAAATTAAACTTATATCATGACTATATCGAGCGACAATTTTTATTTTCATTTTGTAGGAAGTAGTGTGGTACTAGATAGACAGATGGGGATAGCTGGACTGCTCACTTCTGTGGGATAATAGAAATAATCTTCTCCTGCTTCGAAGTGGACCAGGGAAACTCTTAATTAGCATCGGACTAAGCAGAGAATCCTCGTTGCCCCCACACTGTTAAGTAAAGACATTGAGCTGATTGAGAAACTGCTATACTTCATATGCTAGACCATATTTTGTACATACTAAAAAGTTATAACATACTATAAAAACAAATATATTATGCATTCTAATTGAACTAGGATCAAACACTTTGGGTGGAAATCTGAATTTAGGTGTGTGCAAAGCAATCAAACTTAAATCAAAAGGTGAAACTCAGAAATCTGAATATTGCTCCAAAGTTCATACATTTTTGTGATTCAACTTAAAATGTGAAACTATCACATGATATAAACTCATGTCTTTTATAATGTTGATGATTATAGTTTACTGTCCATTTGTTGTGAAATGTTTTAATAGGGCTTGCTGCAAGCTGTGAGCCAAGTAAACGTCATAACAGATACAGGGTTGATAAATCTCACATTTCCATGTAATGTCTGTAAGTTCAATTGGACTTTTGAACCATAGAGTAATTTTCAGAGTTTCACCTGTATTGGAGCCAAGCATTTAGCATTAATGACATAATGGTTAACCCTTAAGGCGCCAGTGTTATGCTAAGCGGAGGCCTGAAACTTGTCAAGATGTAGAAGGCTATTAAAAACAATAATGAAATACATTTTTTAAAGAAAAAGGCTGGAAAATGTTTGAGTTAAAGGCTCCGGCTCCATGTTTGTCTCTCTAAGGGTTACGCCAAAGAAACACATACAGCATGTTTTAGTTCCTGTAATCCACAGCCACAACCAGTAAGGGCAGGCTCCTTTTGTGGCACCGGCACCTGCCACAGCTGATTAGTGGCATGTACACAACAAATGGCGTTTAAAACGGCATGTGGAGAAAAAATGGCGTGTAAAGCGGCATGTGGACAACAAGTGGCGTTTAAAACGGCATGTGGGGAATAAATGGCGTGTAAAGCGGCATGTGGGCAATAAATGGCGTTTACAACGGCATGTGGGGAATAAATGGCGTGTAAAGCGGCATGTGGACAACAAGTGGCGTTTAAAACGGCATGTGGGGAATAAATGGCGTGTAAAGCGGCATGTGGGCAATAAATGGCGTTTAAAACGGAATGTGGGCAACAAATACAGTTGAAAGCAGCCTGTACAAAATACAACAAGCGGCATCAGTGGAGCTAGTGGTCCAGTGGCTCAGATGGAAAAGCACAGGTCTACGGTGTTGATGGTTGCTAGTTCAAATCCCCAGTGACCACCAATGACATTTGCTGATGTTGGGTCCTTGGGCCTAACACTTCATGAAGAATGTCTGAAATGCCATACATTCTTTGAAAAATGTTATTTGAGTAATAATAATATGTTATTGCATAAATCTGTTGAAAGACTTAATTTCATGTATTATATATAGTTTAAATTCCACATGAGCTGCGTCATCCAGTGTCGCACTTGGTTTATAACTGCCTCTCATGCGGAAGATACCTGGTTCAAATCCAGGACAGGTCATTATTTTTTCTTTGTCAGATAAATACAAATTTAATATGTATGACATTATATATATATATATATATATATATATATATATATATATATATATATATATATATATATATAAAAACAAAGAAAAATTCATTTTATTTCTCTCTCTTCTTTAATAAAACCACATCAGAAACATGGAACAATAAGAAAGAGCATAAATACATATATTTTTTTATAAAAGAATGCAAAGTATGAGACACAGCTTAAACGGTCCAAGAACAGAAATGAAGATTTTAACAATATAACCCTCATATAAACCTCATGTTCCAATTACACAACTTTCTGCTTGTATTTTTCAATCCATCACTCTTCACCATCTTTGGTTGGCTCCATTCTTGATGAAATGTCCTAAAACAACAATAGAATCTTTCGGTTTTTTCTTTGCCAAAACACAAAATAAGTGGCGCAGTCATTAAACATTCGTCTATGGTGCGTAAGATTGGCAGATTGGCATTTTTTTTAATGGCAGTTATATAAAAACTGTATATATATATAAAGATATATATAGATATTTATAGATATATATATATCATCATGTACATATATCCTGCATGTAACATGTTTGCACATTTCCTCCTTTTGCACAATCTGAGTGTCTCTATCCATGCCAAATGTGGCATGTAAATTTCTCCTATGTGAGATAAATAAAGCATATCTTATCTTATGTATAAAGAATAAAAAAGTTTTTGATCTTGGCTGGATTTGAATCTGCGAACTCTTGGCAGACACACACCAGCTATACCACTCACCAGGTGGATTTAAGTAAAATTGTGTCTTGAGTGTTTTACACATCATTTAGTTTTACCCTAACGATGATGCAATATTAATCCTAATGCAAGATTACTATTGGAACAACACATAACCGTATGAAATATATATTCATACATATTCAATTTGTATTTAATCTGACAAAAAAATAAAGACCACACCTGGAATTGAACCAGGTATTTTCCGCATGAGAGACAGTTATAAACCAAGTGCGCCACAGGAATATACACTTCTTTATTAACTAAACCACAACTAATACATGAAATTAAGTCTTTCAATAAATTTTAAATTTAATTTATTATAACTCAAACTAAATTTTTCAAACAACTTATGGCACTTCTGACATTCTCCATGAAGTGTTATGCCCAAGGACCCAACATCAGCAAGTGTCACTGGGGATTTGAACTAGCAACCATCAACACCGTAGACCTGTGCTTTTCCATCTGAGCCACTGGACCACTATCTCTAATACTGCTGCTTGTTGTCTTTTGTACAGGCTGCTTTCAACTGTATTTGTTTTACACGCCATTTATTCCCCACATGCCGTATTAAACGCCATTTATTGTCCACATTCCGTTTTAAACGCCATTTATTGCCCACATGCCGTTTTAAACGGCATTTGTTCCCCACATGCCGTTTTAAATGCCACTTGTTGTCCACATGCCGTTTTAAACGCCACTTGTTGTCCACATGCCGCTTTACACGCCATTTATTCCCCACATGCCGTTTTAAACGCCATTTGTTGTGTACATGCCACTGATCAGCTGTGGCAGGTGCCGGTGCCACAAAAGGAGCCTGCCCTTTCTCGCCACAACAGGGTTCCACTTTTCAGCACACATGAGGAATGACTCAACAGATTAAAATATTTGTTTCTATGAACAAAGGTGTGCTGACATGTTTAATGAGCCTATAAGCAAACTGTGGCCACAATTCTGAGAAAGGCCTTCAGACTGGTGCGATGGTTTCACTCGAGGAAACTCCGTTTGTTATGAAGTAGCTGCTGTTAGTTTGGAGAAACTCGCAAAACACACACACACACACACACACACACAAAAACACTTTCTGAAAGGCGGATTGAGAAAAATGTCAGGACGTTTTGGTCACAATGCCTTTGTGAGGTACATCATTTTCGGTTTGAAAGAAAATCTGATGAAAGCGATGTGGCCAAATATCATTACTAAATAATAATTGACATCTGCATTTTGAGAGTGTGAGTCTTGCGTTGGTATTGTCCTATAGCCATTCGTTAGGACAGCTACATATATTCTCAATTGGAGTTTACATTTTTCCTAGTACAGTATACAAGTGAATTGGGCTCACAACACCGCTCTAGTCATTTTATAATCCAAACATTCTTCTATTTAAAGGTTGCAGTGTCACGACAAACCTCAACACAGAAATAAATGTCAGTACAAAAAAAACAATTTAAAGCAATTTTATTGATGACAACCAATGTTTGAAAACATTTATTGCAGTCATCGAAGAAAAGGTCATAGTCTTTTGAAAACAATTTGACAAAACCCATATACTGTATTTTTATGAATGAAACCTGCCACACATGAACGTACAGAGGAGACACTTGTGTTGAGGTAATGTTAAATACCATTCAAATGCATCGGCCCAGTATACAATCATTCAGGAAACCAAAAAAATTAATAAATACATTTGAACGTGAGTTTTCAAACGGTTATCTTAACTTAAAGGGTGCATAAAACATTCACAATTGGCACCTTTATATAACTTTATATAAGTCAACAGGTCCATTGTCACTAAAAAGCGATGTTGAAAGAGAAAAAATGGCCTCTTTCTAATGGTTTGCCAATAACTCGAGGCAACCCGCCACAGCTAGTTTGCATTTTGGGCGATTTTATTCACTTTGATTCATGACTTGATTGATCATACCACACTGACCTAAATTACTTACACATACTCATATTTCCACATTTTTTTCACCAACATTTTTGTACATTTTTTTCTTTTTTTCAGATTAAATTCTTGCCTGAATATCATGAGTACCCTAAAGTGCCCAAACTAAAAATGACAAAATGAACACTGTTATATGTTCTATTCAAGCAACCCATTGCCCCAGCACTGACCTCAGCCAATCCAGTAGTTCCAGAAAAAAAGTGCAGCCTATTTTTGTCCGATACAGTCACAGAACATTAAAACAACACTCTAATAATAAACATCTGTGTATATTCTTTTTTTCACTAGTGCAACGACAGACTTAAACTTAAAAAAATAAACCTTGCAGGCAATCAAAGCTTTTAAAACATCTATTATTCTCTGGCCACAGTAGCAGTTAGAAAGGCAACTCAATGATTGATGCTCCAACACAAACATGCCAACAATATACACTTCGTTCTTTCATAGAAATAAATATGGAAATTCTCTTCTTTAATACTCTGAAGCACATTGAATATAAATGTATCTAGTACACAATTTCAACACTACTGTTATACATATAATATAATTCTCTATGTTTGCTTTCATTCAGCTTTGGAGAGCAAATGCTTACAGAAGACCACCTGTAAACTGTGACTTTCCCCACTTAATGTTAATATTATATAACATCAACATTTGTATTTATATTTTGGTCTTTTTTGTACAAAGGCTATGTACAGAGTAGCTGATAGCGAAGGCAGGATTGTCAAAAAATAAAAGTAACAAGTGCTATGTGTTTTTCCTATTGTGATTGCTAGACCTTTCAAAGCAGGAGTAATAGTTGGAATAGTTTCTGAAATGACTGAGCAGGAAGAACGTGAGAGAATGGACGGATCACAAATAACAATGTACAACAATAGCGATACACAAGTCCAATAATAATAATGAAGCCAATGAGAAAATGCAGTTAGAATTACTCTTTGATCAGACATAAACTGTGACTACAACAGTCAAGAAATAATACAAGATAAAGTAAACAAAGAAACAAAAATTAGGAGAATAACATGAGGCATCAGTTATTAACTAGAATCTATTCTAAGTGCATGTTGTCCGTGAGGACTAACTTGTTCACTCAAATATCCCACACTCAAAATACAAGGTCTCTATTTGATCTGATTGGTGCATTTCTAAGTAGTAAGTGGGATCAGCAACACCAACGACACAGACTTGCATGTGCCACGAGATATAAACTCTATTTTGTGTATTGCACATTTTCCATGGTTCTGAACCATAAGAGTTGTTCCAACTCCTGTCATTAAAGGTGCAGATTGTACACATGTACAAAAAGAAAAGAAAAAAGAACATGATATGTCAGACACAATGTCTATTAAACTACATTCTCTAAAGGTTATCCAATAAATTTAAATGCACGTGTCAACCCCTTTGTTTCGCCAAACGTCACGGTAAAGGTAATGTATTTAACTCAATGGTAACTTGTAAACATATTTGGTTGTAAGAATCCAAGTGAAGCTCTTTTTAAATGCAGCAATTTGAAGTGTGCACCACTCCCTGTCGTATTGCTACTCATACTCTAAAAAGTGTATGAAATGATGTATATTTGTTGGATGTAGTTTCCTGAAAGCTCCACCAGAGGGAGCCAGCAGATCGGCCTTGTTTAACTGTTGCTCAATGCAAATAACTGAATGTTAAACTGTAAAACCTCTTAAAACTCCTCCTTGTGATGGCACATTGGAGAAAAAACTGGAATGAAGGTGGCTGAAAATGGCACCGATATGAATAAAAATTCACTATGAGGAAATACCCAGTGTTATGCTTATCAAGAATATAGACTGTCCTGTTGAGTCATGATCTAGTTCTTCTGGAACAGGAGCGAAGGTGAAGTTGGATGGTGTTTGTTATTGTCTTTGTGTACAGTAGCTCTGGAAGTAGCATCTGGGTCTTCTAGAAGTGCGCCTTGTCCATTGGAACAGAAAGCATCATCAATCAAATAAAGAGTGTATTAAGTCTCCACCTATAACGCAATGTCTCCTTGAGAGATACACATGAAGAACTCTTGAGAAAGAAATGTATGTCCAGGTAAAATCCAATGCAGTAATTATCTTTGCAGGCATTTGTTCGTACACAAAGTCCATTAAACTGTATCAATAATATTGTGGACTGCAGATGCTGCAAATTACAGCACTGTCAGCTGTTTACAACTTTCCAGTCCAAAATACTGCTGCAACAATGTTCTGAGTAAACCATTAGAATAGCAGAGATGAAGATACTGTGACCTTGGTTCTTGTTCATCGTGTATTTGCGGAGGCCATTGCACATCCTCCTCACTGCCGGATATGCATCTCTGAGTGATACGGTCCAACATGGAGCCTCTTGAGGACCTGAAGTGTTAGCAGATGCTGTCCGCTTTTACATGGAGGATTTTGGAGAAGCCCGGTCTCTTCTTCAGACCCTAATGGATGTATATGAAAGTCAGAATACAACACAGATATACATATACCAACAAAGCACAGTTACAGCTCTTAAATATAATATCATGAGCTGGAAAGTAACCTACATTTTTTGGTCAATAACAATACATTTGCTTTGACCCAACAGAAAAAGTCTCGTAAAAGTAAAATGTGTGAACAAACCAGACAAGAACGTACTCTCTTTGTCTTCTTAGTATCATTATAATGCATAGTAACATTACGCATAGTTTACATAAGGAAGAGCCTTGAGAGTCACTATTTTTGACGCCTTGGGCTGAGAGCTTGGCTGATTGAGGGTCCTCTCTTTTTTTCACTTTTATATCTGGAAAATATGCTCTAAAGATATTAAGAATTCCTTCATTCGTCCCACAGTGGGAAAATGCCAGTGTTGCATCACAAGTTATAGAACAGTATGAATAAGCAGCACACAGCACAAGATATTAAAATAAGCAGCTGAACCCTAACCTTTAGCATAATAAGGAAAGAAGTCTCATAACCTCCAAATTTAGCATGACAAATATATATCTGCATGTGGAAATTAGTGAGAGAACAAAACTGTAGCCTATAGAACTATTCTGGATTTTATTGGTTTGAAAGTTAGGTATACCCCAGCTCAAAAGACAGATTCCCCTCTCTCTCTCTCAAACCTCCGCTCTGAGTGGTGATGATGATATGAAACATGAGCCTCTTCTTCTTTTAAAAATAACTCCAAGCTGTTGGGAGCATTTGGAGAGCTTATCTAACTGCTGTGAGTGAGCCATGTTTTTTTAAATGCAACATCAAAAACAAAACAAACCTGGACCGCTGCTGCTTTTTATACATCTGTGACTTTGAGTGTGATCAACCTGAGCAAGTTAGCACGGAGTCATCCAAAGCCTGATTGAGTCATAAACAATGTTGGTCGCAGTATAAATAGCTGTGTGTGTTACTGTACGTGCTGAGAAGCTGGTGAAAGTGCAGACATGTGGGGGATGTTATGCAAAACACCAGGGACATATTTACTATATAAAGACACAATGAGTGGGTTTAGGTGTAAGACCTTATCCTTTTGCTTGTTTTGCGGAGCTTTGAACACAGCGGAGGAATGTAAGCATGGAAATCTTACACTCTGATTGCATAAGTAATTGGCCGGCGCAAATACACAAAGAAGATGCTCTGGGGGCTCATGGCTGGAACATATGTGGGTGTGGGTCTACGCCTGGACCACTACATGTCTCTGACCCTATGTGCACATGGATGCTGTGGGGAGGAGCTTCTCATTTCTCCTATAACATTGCTAAAAGGACAAACAAGACGTTTTCTCTATTTTGGGCATTTTAGGTATTAGGTGTATATTTTAGGTTAACTTTAACTTTTACCATGAACCCTTTAAGCATAAATATGAAGGTTAAAAGGGACAGTAGGGGCGCGTTCACACTAGTTAGTCTGGTTCACTTTAAACATGCAGTCAGTGATTTTTTCCAGAAGCATTTTTATTTTTTATTTTGTGGGAAAACGTCCCTAAATCCTAAAAGTAGTCAAGTAATCATGTGTTTTCAAACAGTAAGGGAATTGACCAGATGCCTATAGTCTACAAAAATTAATAAAAAAATATTTTGGAGCGGACCTATGAAAATAAACCAATGAGATGCGTTTTTACTCCCTTCACCCTCTTCCTGTTTCTTGCGAGTGTGCGCACCTGAGTTATTGGAGTATTTTCTAAAACCTAAAATGGCTGAACAGAAAAGGCCAATTTCACGTTTGCCACCCACTCTCCCTGTTGTGACAAAGAAAAGAAAATGCTGGATGTTTGGTTTGGGGGAGAGGCGAGGGGAGGGGGAGTGGTTTCGAGTTGGTGCTATGGCTAAGCTAACATCATCACTTACTGCTTCTTTAATTGGATCAAGTCTGATTCATGAAACTTGCTTGAAGCTGGAAACTTAACTTTTTTCTTTCAGAAATATTGTATTTTTTTTGCGAACAAATTAGGCCACAACGTGCGGTATTTATTGATCTTATTAAAAACATGTTATCATTACCGTATTTGAAGGAATGAGCTCTGTGAGTGATTATTTGACACTTTGGGCAGAGAGCTGAGTGGCTGAGTAAGGTGAAAAAAGCCAATCCAAATATGTGACAGAGGCCATGAACATGTATGCGAAAACTAGGGATAGAACTAGTTTATGAGAGTGAGGAACTAGAGGATGGATGGATTTTTTCTTTGTGATATTGAGGTACTCCAGCTTTAAATCCCCCTTTGAAACTGTGTCTGTTCAACTTTTATTATCTGATTGTTTCATGTTGAATGTACATATGCTGTAAACAAAACATTTCCCAAGAGAACCAGACTTGGTCCAGTTAATGTGAACCAGACCAACACGCCCTATATGTATAAACTGAATTATTACAGAGGGCTTGTCTTACCTGCAGCTTAATGACCATTTCGTCAAATAATTTTCTGGCCTCTGGGCTGTTGGGATCCTCAAAGTAGTCTTCTATACCAATCTGCACCACTATGGACTTTAGACTGCGGCAAACACCTACAGTGGACAACAACAAAACAACACTTTATTGTCATTGGTAAAGCATTAGGTCTTTCTAGGCATTCATGACTTTCTCATTTAAACGTTATATGCTCACGATATTAATTATTGCTTTACAAACAAACAAGTTATCACAATTTTCCAACATTCTTTAGGTGTGATTATTATAAAACTGAGTTGTATTGGGAGCTGTTTATCCCCGAGCCTGGCGTCACTAGTACATGTGCCAATTGTCCATCAGCAGATAGACCCTGGAGGAAATCGTTTGCACTCACTGTTGAAGTGGAGCAGTGCTTTGGGGGTCACTGGTGTAGAGGTGAGGACCAGCATCTCAAGCCCCTTCAGTCCCTCTCTGCAAACCTCTGCTGCCACCTCCTGGTTGATCTCGCTCACATGGTCCAGCTCTAGCACCTGCAGTCGCATGCAGTTCCTGGCTGAGAATGAGAAAGGTGATTATTATGAAAACATGTTTTGTTGCCCTACACTGTATGAGCTGTAAGAAGACGGTATAAATAAATCATGCATGCAGCCAATTTTTTAACAGTGAGTGTATTAGGCCTTACAGTGAGCATTAGGTATTTGCCGGACCAGCCAGGCCCTTTTACATTTGATCACATTTGTCACAATGTAGGGGGGTGCATTTGTTCCCAGTACATAAATTAAAATATCTTAAAACCAATGCAATCTAATCCAACCCACTTTTTTATATAGCACATTTCATAAACACAGTTTCCAAAGTGCTGCACAATAAAATACTAATTAAAACAAATCCATAGTTTATTCTTCTCTGTTCTTTCTCTTTATACCTTTAAAACAAATTATTATTATTATTATTATTATTGATATTATCCCATTTTAATATATATACTTAATTTTTTTATTTCATTTTATTTATTTAAAATTGTATTTTTGGCCTGTGGGTGGGGTGGGGTCAGGGTGGGTGGGGGTTGACAGAACTGAGGGTGGGGGTTGACAGAACTGAGATTGCCTTGATTTGTATTTGTCCCAACAACATCTGTCTTATGTTAAAAATGTTCAATAAACATAATTTAAAAAAAACAACAAAAAAACAAATCCGTAGTAAAATAGTAAAATCATTAAAAATAAATAAATAACCATGTGTGCATACATGTATAAATATAGAAATAACAATTAAAAAAAATATATATATATAAAATAAAACGACCATTCAACTCACGCAGTGTTAAAAGCCAAAGTACAAAAAATGGGTCTTAAGACGAGGCTTAAACCAATCACAGATTGTCGAACTGGGAACGCAAAACTTGTCCTGCATCCAAACTTGTCCTTCCTTCTCATTTTTATTGACCTTTGTGGCATAAAAAACAATATTGAATGTCACTTGACCAAAGCTGGAGCTGCCCAGTCTTGAAAAGGTCACTTTTGCAGCACAAGGAAAGAGTTCTTGCTGAATTCAGAATCGCAGTGTTGACAGTGTTGCATTCTTGATTGTTTTAATAGAGTAAAATAACATTAGTCCTTGTGAGAAACAGTTTTATCTGATGGTTTTCTTGGCAGTCCAATCAAACAACGCATGAAATGGGCAGCTCAGGGAAGAGATCCAGACCCTCACCTGATTCTGGCAAGTCGGACTAGTGAGGTACAGGGCTGTGCCAAAAATATATCATATAATCAAAAGATTGCTCAATTATGTGTCTAAATTATCAGTATGTGCAGTAAAGTTGACAGACACCAATCATGTGGATGAGGAATTACCAGTTATGCTCACACATGTAGGAGGAAAACTATTGTATTTACCTCTCCATTCGTCTTTGTTTGGTTTTTATGCACAATTTCAATTAAAGGTTTGCCTCTTTTTTGCTCCTGCCTGGTCACCCAGATTATATGTTAAATTTGAGTTGGAACAAATATCGAATAAAAAAATCCCTGATTGTCAAGCCCAGCCACAGTGAAGTGTAACAGAAATGTCACGTAATTATTTTTGTAAAATATCAGACTCACCCAGTGATGCCAATCCTTGAATACCACATCCAGCGCCGCCCACTCCCAGAGCTCGGAGGTGCGGCCAACATCTACCAATGGTCTGCAAGCAGCGATTACTGAAGCGTGCTGGCTGTTGGCTGTCATCACATAATTCTACTGAGTGAAACTTGTCATGACAATGCTATACACCAGTTTAAAGTAGACTTTTACCATGGGTGTAGTGGTGCCACCTGTAGGGAGATAATGTCTCTGCAGCCAGCTCCCAGTGCCCAGATGACCTCCTGGCCCACTGGGTCTGTGGCACTCCTGGAACACAGCATGCACACGTTTAAACTTCTAATTAAAAGAAAGAATATTATTTCTGATGGGAAATGTAAATCAACCTGTAAGTTACGGCCTGTAGGGCTCGGCAGTAGCAGCTAGCCAGCCAGAGGGAGCGGTCAGTGAGCAGGTTTGGGCAGTGAGAGATCTTCAGGATGAGCAAACTACTCCCTGTGGCTTTCAACAAGGCCTCTAGACCCTCTTCCAGACAACCGCTACACCAAGACATTTGGCATTATTTACATGTAAATAACAAATAACAAAAGACAGACCAAATTACTCTTTAGAATGTTAACAAAGCATAAGAATATGGACTTCATTCTGCAGTGTTTAAATCCTGTCTATATATATCCTATAGGTGTCAAAAATAATATAAGAATTGGTTTCCCTTGTGCTTTTAAATGCATCTGCTTGGTTTGTCTCAGTTGGATACGGTTTGATCCAATTCACACCGCAATCAAGAGCACAGGTTTACATGCGTCTTGCAGGCGAGTTATGCGTTTTTTTTCTAAGCATACACATGAATCTGATGGGGTAATAGTACTGTATATGTGCAGGTATGGAAAAACAAAACTTACAAGTATCTTTTAGTCTAAAACTTGCTTTGCTGTGCTATATTTGTATGCTCACCGTGTGCTTTTAAGATACTCCTCCTTGTTCTCCTTTTTCCCTCTCTGTCTCGGCTTAAGGTTTTGTAGAATTAGGGAATGTGTCTGTGTGCACCACTGAGACAATGTGCAAAGGAACTAGGAGAGAGCAAAACAGGCATGAGTAGAAAGCAAGAGCAAAAGGGGAAAGAATAATAAAAGTTACAGCGTGTACAGAAGAATCTACCTTAGAGGAAATGCGGGCGTTCTCCAGCAGCACCCTGGTCCACACGGCTGGATGTCTGGCCACAAACTTCCAGTCTCGACAAACCTCTGCGGCCCGGAGGAGAGTTTTTGTGTCCAGGTATGTGAAGATGCAGAAGAGAGCAGCTCGCATCTTTAGCACCTCCGGACTGATGACCTCGTTGGACTTCGAGGGGCTCTTGGCATGACGACATGGTTTGCTGTAGATTGGTTCAGGTCGACCTATGAAAGAGTTTGTAAAATGTTGCTAACTTTTATAACAGATTAGAATGCATGAAGTGCACACTATTCTAAAAGCCTGGTTTTTGATTGAACATATAGAAAATGCATTTTACCTCCTGCAATGTTTGTCATTTGTAAATTGCACACAGATTACTAAAGCAATTACACTGTGTCAATGTTCATGGTGATCAAATAAGTAGCCCTGTTTCCACGCTATTGCAAAACAGCAGGATTCTACATTGAAATGGGCTCAGACCTCTAGTAAGTAAGTAAGTAAGTAATGTTTTTTTATATATCGCATTTCACAGACCAAGGTCACCCAAAGCGCTTTACAATGTTCAGAGTTCAGATATTGTTCCAATTATTCCACACACGGTGATGACGGAAGCGAGTCGCCGAACACACTGGAGCATCAGTCCCCAATCAACACCATCCATTCACTCACTCATTTACATTCATACCTATGAATGGATGTATACCTCTATACACCTACCTCTATACATTATTCCATTGTTATTTTACTTAAAGCATCCATCCATTTTGATCCCCTTTATCCATTTCTGGGTCAGAGGGGTGGCAGTCAGAGCTGCACCCAGTACACAGAGCACCGGCCCCTCACTGACCCTCCTGCAGGTGGTGAGTTCACAGGAGCCTTTATCTTTCAGCGGGGGCTTCAGGCAAAGTGGGGTTAGGTGTCTTGCCCAAGGACACAACGACAGCAGACATCAGTGGCAGCTGTGAAGTAGGTCTTGTGGTGGGCTCGAACCCACGACCTTCAGTAATAGTAATAATAGCTCACAAGGCTCTTTCTTACACCGATACAAAAGATACAAAATATGTTTTCTAATAAATTTGTCCACATAATTCTTTCTGTGGGGATAAATAAAATAGCTAGGTTTCCCAGCTTTAATTCTCAGGAGTAGAAACCTTTGTCCACAACTGACCCTGGGTGCACATATACAATACATGAATTTGAGCATCAAGTGGACAGGTCTATCTAAAATACAGATAGTTATTCACTGGTATTTGTGACTACCTATTTTTCCTGGGAAGCTATAGTTCTCATGTTTAATCGCTTGGTGGCACCACTCTCCGTCTTTCACAGGTTACATAAATGTCTTTCTTGGTATGTTCTGTTGCTATATATCGGCTGCTCCCATGTGTCCAATCCAAGCCTGTCTTATTCCTCGCGGCAAGAACCCAGATGAGTCACTCCACTCTGGCCTTGAAAGGTGTCTGCTAGAAACCATCAGGGCTATGAACCATTGCTTACACTCTCTCATCCGCTTTCACTCTGATTTTTTTCTTCTCTTTTCCCTCACACACACCACCTACGCTCAAGACTGCCAAATGAACGAAAAAAGCAGCGCAGTGTGTAGCATGCTGGGGTAATAAATAACATGCATACATACACACATGCATACCATCTGATCAAACTTGGCCCCATACGACCATGGCTACGTAAAAGCCTGTGGCAAGTTGCGTGTGTGCTGTGCTACGCAAATCTTTGCTTTAGTCCGCTGTCATGGTGATCTGTCCTAAGACAGTGGCTCGGTTTCTCTAATCTTCCACCTGGTATCTACTGTGCAAAGTGGTGTACAAGAAGCCAAACAGCAGGTGGGTGAATGGCACTGAGTTTTAGCATTTTGGCAAAGACAGCGAGAGATGTACAATCTGTGAAGGATCTGAAAAACATTAGCATTCGGACTTGGCAGCAATACAAAAGTACTGATCAATTATAAACACTGTTAAGCGTCAGCAGCCAAAAAGATGTTCAGTCTTAAAGCTACTGTACTGTATGCAGGATTTTGAATATGAGTAAAACTGTGCAACCAAGGATTTTTCCAAGGAGTGTTTTTGTCTTATCTTTGTGAACCTTTTCATCATCGGTAAAAAATCAATCAATCAAACCGATATCACGTCTCATGTGTCTGTGCTCTGTGAGCTGTAGCACCAGTGAAACAATGCAACCTTAGAGCAGCATTATTGGGTGGCACGGTGGCTGAGTGGATAGCACTCTCGCCTTTCAGCAAGAAGGTCCTGGGTTCGAACAGGGTCTTTCTGAGTGGAGTTTGCATGTTCTCCCTGTACTCCGGTTTCCCCTACCACTAAAAACATGCTCACTAGGTTAAATCCTCCGGTAGTCCTGACCAAGCCGAGCATCAACATCTGGAGATGGGTTCCCGAGCGCTGTTACTACGGTGACCACTGCTCCTGACGTAAGCCCTCGCGGCATCAGGATGGGTCAAATGCAGAGGATGAATTGCCCTATGCTATGGGGATTAATAAAGTGCACCTTTACCTTTATTTTACAACTGGACTTCATCCATGTTTATTGTGGCTACAAAGGCAGTATGATCTGGGTCCGGTGTCATTCAGATTCAGATTCAGATTCATTTTATTAGCCATGTGCAGTATAAAAACTACATTGGAATACATTCGCAAAAAAGGTACTCTGTGTGCACCGACAGAATAAAGAGCACGATACAATGTAATATAAAATACACATACACTGAAAATAAAAGAATAAAAAAAACAGCTGACACTGTGGCACCGATCAACAAAAACGATACATGGGGTAAAAGATGGGTTGTGTTCTAGTGCAGACAGCTCCTCAGATGGTATTTTCTCAACTGGTGTGTGTATTTGTGTGTGTGTACATGGGTGTGTATGTTTGGTGGGAATAAGGGAATGATTGAATTTATTATATATAAATTACTATATCTTATGTAGTACTTTATGGATGGATAGAAAATAAAGACTGCTTACAATAATGAAGCATCAATGTATAATTTTCTAATAAAATAAAAACACCTAGATTAAACAACACATTAAAAATATGCCCTGGTGCAGTCTATTTTCTGAATGGAAGCTGCACAATGGAGGGTTACACTTCCATGCAAAATAATGATTAACAACATATAAAACAGTTTAAGATAAACTTGATATGACCAAAGTAATAAAAGCGCTGATTTGAAATTTATATTTGATACATTGTGTAAAGAGCAAGAGGAGGATTGTCTCTTACCTATGTTGGGGTAGTAAGCTCGCACATGGTGTGGGTAAGGGGGAGCAGACTGCTGGACCTCAGCCACAGTCCTCCTCTCCTGCTCCCACATCTCCTCTGACTCTGTGGTCCGAGAGCCCACATCCGACACATCCCCCTCCTCTCCTTCACTGTTCCTGTAAGGGCGTCTCTGCCAGTTCTGAATAGCCTGTTTGCGTAGACCCCAGTTTCTAGATGCTCCGCCACAGGAGGGCGAGCGCTCGTAGCCCCCGTCCCCGAGTCGACACTGCATTTGATAGTACTGCGCGTCGGGGCACTCCTCCATGGGGTGCATCTCCACACTGTCGCTGTCATATCCCCCAGAGCCCTGCGACACCGATTTGATCCGGCCAGACGCTCTAAAAAAGACAATTAACAGAAACTTCTCTATAACTTCTATTAGCATGATTAAGCAATGCAAAATATAACACTTACAAGCATACACATAATCAAGCAAAAACTGTAAAAGTGCAAATAGTCACATAAAGAGAGATGCTCAACACAATGTTGTTCAACAAAAGAAAATCCCAAAACAACATAATATTTATTAATCAAGGGACTTATTTATGTTATGTATGCATAAGAGGGAAAAAGCTTTGAGATAACCATTTATATATGCAATACTTATCCATGATTACAGGAGTCGAAGCAGTAACCACGGGCAAATGTGAGACTCATTACCCTGCAATTAGGTGGTGGAGACACTTCATAAATGCTGTTTGGTGTGAAATTAAAATCAAGACATTAATGCATGAAAGGGTCTCACCCACTAGCAGTGTACCAGCGGATTAGTTAAGTGTATTTAATATGTACAGGAAGCAGAGTTAGAGCAGGGGTACACAAATGGCAATTATGATTAACACCTTTATGTGTCACCTAGTAGACCCATTACAGAGTCTGTAGAGTCATGCTGTGTAATGCAGGCAACTGTTAAAAGCAAATCCAATATGTTATTACAATTTCCTGCCACTAGATGAAGTCTTGTGCTTCTACAGAGAATGAAAGTGGAAGAGTCAGATGTTTTACTACAAAATTATTGTTTATTGACATCGATAGACCTACCAAAGGTGACCTATTCTGTGTGTAGGGTAATTATCAACATGCTAGCTAAGAGTGTTACATAACATCGTAAATTGCAGCGTTAACTCATAAAGTCATAACCAGTCATATTAAAAAATCTCATCTATGGTCAGGTATGGCCCCACTGATAATACCGCACACGGTTCCATTTTCAGAATACAAACAGACACAATGCCCTTCATAATAATAATGATGGCAATAGTCAAAACAACTAAACAATCTACTGTTATAATATCCCAACGTGGTACTTTGATAATTTAAAAAAAAGCAGCTTCTATAGCAGCATGCCAACAGACAACATCAATTAAAAAGTCAATAGCTTTAAATAACATGGGGCAAAACACTCTGGGGCCATCTGGCAGTCAGTACCAGCCTGACTGCATCAACAAATAGCAGGAACACTTGATGTTACAGTTGGCTAAAACAAGCGGCCGGCAGACGGCTTTGGGCTTGTGCGGCACGACATGATGCGTATGAACTGATTCAGCAGGGGAGGCCTGACAGATCCCCCTGTGCCGGGACATTAGGAAACACTCAACATACCACCTCGGAATGACACATACGTGAGTCAGAACCGTGTCTGGAAGCTTCAAATGGGTCCCAAAATACCCCAGACATACTGCGCTAACGTGACATCAAGACATACCTGCGACACCCTCAAGGATTATCTATCAATATGCAACACTTTGCTCAAGACAGCTGCTCGCAACAAGGAAATCACCTGCTTCCTGTGATATGTTCTCCTCAAACATATGCTGTAACGTAAATAGTACTTATTATGACAAATGCCATCTGTCTATAGAGAGAACATGAAGGGATTTTGTCTCTCAATTGGCCTGGGAATGTCTCGAGTTTCCCCCAAATTAGCTGGACAAGGGAGTGTGGATAGCGAATAGAATTAGTGGAGCTATGATACGTTTTGTTAATCCCACAATAGGGAAATTAGATTGTAAGGTTGCTTAAATCACCATATGCAACCATCATATCAAAATGACAATTTTTGTAGCCGCAATACGCAAATTGCAATTTAGAAGATGCACTTCGTGAGACCTCCAAACCCCTGCATGAATCTGCAAAAATGCACAGCCAAGACTGAAGTTCTCTGGGCTGTACATGGGCTGCCACAAAAACCTGCACTGGGAGGGAAACACTCCTCGAACTTTTGGGTTGATGAGCGTTCATAGATGTCATGGAATCATATCAATATGTAATATAAAATCGTCTAAAATCCTACATAATTCCCCTTTAATTAATGGTATGATGCACAGAGTGACTATGTCAATAAATATTGAGTCGGGGGTCAGTCCAGGGACTCACGCAGTGCTGGGGGAGGAGCGTCTCTCGGATACTTGGTACATGCCCCTTGTGCTTCCAGAAAGACTCGAGTTTCTCTGTAAAACATATAAAATACATTTTATTTACAATTTGTAGACCAGACATGACTATCACAGACCTGCAGGCCAGAATTTGGGACCATTGTAAGTGTCCCTGAAATAATTGAAATCATTATTATTAACGAGCAGCATTGATGGACCGAAAACAACCACATCAATGAATTTATTCTAACATTTAAATTAATCAAATAATCGGTCTAACAGTCTTTAATTATTAGATCTATGAAATACATTAGGTCTTGTTTTAATTAAAACAGAAAACTCCTTTTGTTTAGAAAAAAATAACAATTGTCGAAATACCTTCATCATGTAAAAAAGAAAAAAAAGGACAACTACTAGTTTTTAATAACTTCTGCCCCTGTACAAGAATGCCTGTGTGCCTGTCCCACATACCTGTAACCATGGGGATGTTCTCTGATAAATGAGATGTTTAGATAATGCATAATACGAAATCATGACATTTCTAAATGCATGCAGCCAGAACACATGCAGTCCGGGGCCTGGTTTAGGGCCAGAAAAGTTTTAGTCGTGGTTAAGATGAGGCCAAACATATTTGTAGGTAGCACTTTGTGTGAAAGGTTTGATCATCACTGTTGGAGCTTTTTGAAAACTGTAAATGCTGATGAGAAAGTGGTCTGATCGACAAGATTTTTTTGGTTTCTTGTTTTCTCCACAAAAGCAGTTTTGTGTTGAGCCATTAATGTCCACCAGTGTTCCTTTTGTCAAGAAATGTTTTACTTTTTATGCTTTTAGTCACATAATAATTTGTTATTTTTTAGTCCAGATGTAGTACAATTATAATTTAGTCAATTTTATCCAAAGTAGTCAGACAGGTTTTATTCTAACTGAGAAAAAAAGTATGTGAGTTTATTTATATATATTTTTTCTCATTTAGTTTTTTTTTAGTCTTCACAAAAGTGGCATTGCCTATGACAAAAATATTCTATCAGACAAAGTTAACACCTTTCAAACAAATATGAATGACCTTTCCCAAACTATTGCAGGTGGACGTCATGCCCCACCCCTCAGCCTGTCGCTCCCAGAATAGCCTGCAGGAGATGGGGGTGACCTGGATGAGGCGGATGTGGCTCTGGGCTTCCCTTCACAGTGTGCTGAGGTGCCAGCAGCCTGTGACTCCACACTTGTACTTGCCATGTCGATTATTCAGACACACCATGTGGCAGGAGGACGTATAAATAAATCCTCGCCAGATCAAGAGATGACGACTGATTTGAACTCCGCTGATTGGCTGAACCATTTTGGCAACATATCTTGTGGGTTTGGTTGATCTTGAAGAAGTCTATTTCAGTTGGAGGGCATGTGCCGATACATTACACAAAAAATTGAAATAAAAGTTGGAATAGAAAATGTCCAAAATGTTGATCATTATAAATAATAATCCCTATCATGTGTAATGTATGCTGATTTTATTATGCCTTACTCTATTCTTTACCTCTCTTCTTTGACTGTGACTTCCTGTGACTTACAAGGCAACAAAAATGATTCTGATTCTGATAATTACTTGATTTGTAAGTAAGTAAGTAAGTAATCTTTATTAATATAGCCCCTTTACAGACCAGAGTCACAAAGTAATCATGAGCATTTGTATCTCACTCCACACAGAGATGGGAGCGAGGTCATCTGTACAGAGGAGGCGCCAACATCATGAATGTGTTTTGAATATTTTCATATGTGGAGTGTGTGTGAACGGTTGGTGGTAGTCAGAGGGGCTGATGGCACATACTGGTTGCTTCAGGGCAGCTGTGGCTTCAGTTTATCACCACCGTGTATGGAGTGAAAGATTAATGACATGTGAAGCGCCTTTGAGTGTCCTGAAAAGCACTCTATAAAACCATCCATCCATCCATCCATCCATTTTCTACCCTTTAATCCATTTCTGGGTCAGGGGGGTGGCAATCAGAGATGCCACCCAAGTCTCATAGCACTTGAGACTCTATAAAACCAATGTATTATTATTATTATTAGTTTATTTAATGACAAAGAAGATGTGGAACTTTGTGACTTTGTTTTTGTTTAAATGAGATTACCCCAAGAATTGCAGAGGCATTACTGTATCTTTAGTCTGAATTTTACTACACTGTCCCCTACACTAGTAGGAAAGCTGATTCCACCACAACTTTAACAAACAGCTTTTTGGTATATTGTGATGTCACATGATGGCAAACTCATATTGATTACAGACGTTACGTGTTTACTTTGTGTATATACAAAGTAAACACGTGACGTCTTTAATTATGATGTTTCCATGGCGGCGCAGAGACTAGTGCGATATAACGGGTCGCCTGTATCTTCTACAAAGATGAATAATGATGAGAAAGGGTGAGAGTGAGACTGTAGACAGAGGATGTGAGCACGGTGCTCAGACATATGAAAACAGGCACATTCACTACAGAAGAGACTGCAGACAAAGAGCTCTGTATATTTCCTGGAGCCCAAGAAAGGTTTTATGCAAATACAACATCTGATGTATAACACAAGACACAAAGGAAGGTTGTGGCGAAAGGATGAAATCATAAGCATGAAACTAATGACACAAGTGACGTCAACCAATAAATCAAATATTTGTACTGTAATATTTGTAATGTAAGCTGTATTTTGTGTGTGTTTTTAGTAGTATTAAATTAATTAGTAAACCAAATATGTCTATTCTCTATGTATAACCGTTAGAAAAAAAAAGTTTGGTTGATTTGCTTCAAATGATGAATCTGTCCAATCTGAGTATGTAGGCCTATAAACCTATTATAATAGTTGTGGTAGTTAGTGTATCACTTCTTTCAACTGGATATAGAGACATTTGCAGGCTAAATTATTAATATGAGAAATCGCACTTCAGGTGTGATTGTAAATGGTGTAAATCTTTTGTAATCAGAACAAAAAACAGCAAGCACTACAGGAGTACGTCTTGAAGATAATTTGTCAGACATTCAGTCCATTACGTGTTCGACTCGTGGTGCCAGGTCACTCAATACAATCAATACTTGCCCTAGATCCAAAAGCCGGCTGGAAAAGGACTGGAGAAGGAGTGCTTCTTTTGCACTGTTGAGCAAAAGAAGTGTTTGACGACATACCTCTCGGCCGTTGCCCTTGTTGGCCTGCAGGCTGCAGCGGCCCAGGCTGCCGTTGGGTGTGGTTCCGCAGCTGCTGATGATTTGGAGCTGTTTCTCCGCGCGGTCGGCCCGGTCCAAAAGCTCCTCAATGAACTGCTGCAGACGAACTTTGGCTTTGGCTTCTCGCGCTGCCGTCTCCTGAAGAAACTGGTCGATTTGGGCCACTTCCCTGGACACAGGCAAATCACAAGTGTTGGACTGTGTCGTGTAAGTATAATCTCAGACACAGAGCAGCTGGTGCGGGACGCTTTTAGTATGAGTGCGACAAATTACATATACAAACACAGTATATAAAGTGACGGAGGAAGATGGAGCTGTCTGCAGTACAGACATCTCATGCACTATATATCCAAACATATCACACTGCCTGAGATCACCAAATAGTCTATTCAACCGGCCGCTGCGATTTCTAGTCTCTTTAAAAAGTCAGAATTAAAATACCATGCAACTTAGTATTTCTGCACAAATTAACAATTTCTAAAGCACTGCTGCAACGACTGCTCCTCTCAGGTTGCCCTAGTTCAGGTGCAGGCCACATGCGGCTCTTCTTTTGCCCTGACAAATAATACGATCTGTTTTCGTGTTATTTCGGTTTATTAGGAACTATCCATTGTACTACTACGAGGGACTCACAAATGTCCTAATATTTCTTCTGCATGTATATTGTTTCTGAATGTTGTAGTCAATTATTGTATTGGTATAGTTTTGTAATAATCCAAAATGTACCACATTGTGTTCAATATTTTGAGACGTTTGACTCTTTATCTTTGACAGAAACATGCTTCAAAAAGTTTAGTTTCAATGTTTGCCTTTCAACACACAATTGAGGAATTTGAAATATACCGTATATTAGGGGTGGGCGATATCTCTTTATTTGGTGTTTGAATTATACAGCACTTTGCATAAGTTTTATACACTGATTTACAGTGGTTTCCGTCAAAACAACGATTGCGATATCACTTCTCAGACCAACTCCTGTAGAAAGATACATCTGGAAGGGAGGCAAAAGTAGGGCTGATGGTCTATTGAATATTACCTACGATAAATCTATTACATACATTTTTGGTAAAAGTATGATTGATAGTTGAAAAAGTGCATGTGCGAGTTTGTACCTGAAATAGAATATTTTTGTTCCATATAGCGTGCAGCCACAAGGAAACACTTCTGAAGCAAACAAGGGCAGCAACAAAGTTTTAACATGATTTTAAGTAAATATACAAATTAATCAGCATAATAACTTTACATTTATATCCCTAAATGCTTATAAATAGCAGTAATCATTCATATTTCAAACATATCCAAATGCATAATTGGCTCGCTCATCCAAACACTCTCTGACCATACACCTCTCCCACCACTGAATATGTTCTGACTTTACACCTCCACGTACTTCTTCAGTGCTTTTTGTGTAGCGTATTAAACAGGTTCGAACATGTTTTTAATAGATCTATCAAGATGTTAGTAGTAATTATTGCACATTGATTTTAAATGTTTTTGAAGTCCATTACTGTAACTGTAATACCACCTGATATTTGTCATAATTAATTTGCAGTAAGAAACAGGCAATCACTGAATACAGTTCTGCAGAATTGTTTGTTTCACGCTGTCACTGACTTGTTAGAGCTTTTGTTTTTCGCCTGTTATCTCCACATCACAGCAAGGAGCTTAACAAAACAGCTGAGCCATCTGACCTTGACGGAGCCAGAGGAGCGGGCTCATAGTGGACACAAAGAGCTGTCTGTACCATGTGCCATAGGTCTCCTCATAGCTTACATAAGTCACCTTCTATGTAACGGTGGATGTTCCGAAAATCAGGCCATAGTGAGATAAAAATAATTGGGAGGGTGGCACAGTTAAGTAGTGTCATCATAAGCAGTGAATCTAAAAATGTCACTTGTGTGTGAGATGTTGGGAGTAAGATGATCCGGGAAATTGTAGAGTTTTCATTCAAAGGAGTAAAACGAATAAAAAAACACTTCCTGCCATTGTTAAAACGGCAGCATTTGATTTGGAACATAGTCATGGGGAGGGGGCACTGTATAGCAGCCTCACAGCCGGAGGATACAGGCTGTTGGTCAGTCTGGATGTACTGGCCGAAGAGATTCTTTACTCTAAAATGCATGAAATGTACTATAGCCCTTTATTGGTTTGCTCAACCAAATGGTAGATCTATTTTTGAGTCACTATATCTACTTGAAGCATGTTTGGAAATTACCATTAAACTGCATCGCAACCATTTTGTAGAAGCTTAGAATTAAAACAACAGAAAAACGTCTTTCTTCAAGGAGTCCCCATTATAGGGATAAGCTGCTACTATTTTCAAGTCTTTTGAATCCTGCAGCCTATAAATAGCAATACGGTCAAAGTATTTTTTTTGTGGTAGAGTATTCCTTTAGGGCACAACAAATAATTTGGACCTTTGGCTCTAACAGCTGTTATATTTATGTGAACAGTGCAGAGAGAGCTGACAAGCTGAAATGTAGGAGAATACTGACTTGACTTGTTTAAATGGGACTTATTATTTTGACTATTTGTCCTAGACCAGTTTTAGTAGCTCTAGAACACACCTTTATTGTGGAGAATAGATGGTAAATGAGTCTCGACATGGGTCTCAATGGTTAATGTAAGCATGTGAACGTAATGTTTGCTTCCTCAGAGTTCATTGTGTTATTTACCTTTTGCTTAGTCCATTAACATGTCTATGGGATTTGCGCTGCTGGTCAGCTGAACATCAACTGTACGTTAAGTGTCACATTACAACATGAAAATCTGTGGCTTATTATTAAATGTGCCTGTAATGGGCCTGTATGACAACAAAATGTACTTTCTCTAGGTGCAGTTTACATGCTGGTGCGCTTTAGTCAAGCAAGCAAAGTATATTACATTTTTTAAAAAATTAGTGCAACACAGTGCTGTTACTTGTAATGCTACTTTAAGATTATGGAGATTATTTGGCATAAATCCACATTGTAGATTAAAATCATAAAGAATAACACTTTCAGAGGATAAACAGGCTACATTTTTTGCTTTCACAAACAGCTGTTCATGCCAGATGTACGATTGTAAAGTTACTGCAGCGGTGGTTCTTTTTCATGTTACTATAACACTAGTTAATGAGACCAACTGAGCTATTCCACTTTCAAATTAATTCAGAAAATCCATATTAATATTAAATAGGACCCATGATGGCCGTGATATTAATATAAAATCTGAAGCTTGTCGTTTGAATAAACCAAATTGTTTTAAAAGTACAGAGCGTCTGTTTTGTACTCGTTCCTGACACCTGGAATAGTGTGGCTTTCATATCCTGTTTGACCACATTGTGCCTCAGATTCTCTGCATCATAAAAAGAACCGGTGGGAAGTGCTATGGCAACAAGAGATGCATGATGGACGATGATAAAAGCATGTGGGGAAGGGGAGGATAAGACTCCTGGTAAACAGGCTCAAAACTGTAGCATGTTTTCCCAATAAGTGTTGTATATGCAATCTGGCAAAGCAGGAGAATGATCTGTGAGAGAAAGGACCCTGATGAGGACCACTTCAATGACCTAAATACTCACAAACAACAACGCCAATTAACATCATTATTGATTCAAATATGGCCAGGGCTATCTGGAAAAAATATTGACCGATCTTGATTTCTAATTTGCTGTTTTTCTACATTTATTAATAACAGTATAAAATAAGTAGTATGAATAATACAATAATTTGTATTGCCAAACTTTCACATTGTGTTTCACTTATTTGGAAAGCAGAACAATAGTGGTTTTTCTATCCAATTACATCATGGTATTATGAGGGAAGTATTTACAGTATCAATATTGTTTTTTAGATGTTTTAACATTGAGTATGGTTTTTGCCGCAGCCCAAGTTTGAATCTAGGGCTGTACTAAAATTCATAAGATTGAAAGATTGCATCTAAACTTTGGTAGATCATAATTACTCTGACTCAAATAATTACTCTGACTCAAATAAAAAATAAGGGACTGAAAGTATCATTATTCTATACCAGCCATTCCCAAACTCAGTAACACCGAGGCCCCCTTAAAAATCTAACGGGTCTGCGTGGCCCCCCAAAATAATAACCAAGAAGACAACATTAAGAATAGGCTCTTCTGGTTATTTTATTTTGGGGAAATAGCCTCTGCTACAAACATTGTAATACAAAAATGATTACAGTGGATTATTCAAGTCAAATAATGAACACAAATATTTTAATATTACAAACAAAACATTATAAATTTAACATTAAATCATTATATTATTTTTTAATTTTTTTATGACCTCCCGCGGCCCCCCTGCAGTACCCTCGCGGCCCACCAGGGGGCCGCGGACCCCACTTTGGGAGACACTGTTCTATACTATTCTATACTATTCTTCAGCCCCTTCCGCTGTTACTACCACATTATTGGTTATAAATAAAGGCTTGATAATTACGATCATCCAAAGTTGAGATTGCAAACTTTCAATCTTATGAAATTTAGTACAGCCCTAGATTCAAACTTGGGCTGCGGCTTAAACCGTACTTAATGTTAAACCGTCTGAAAAACAATATTGATTGTTACTTACCTCATAAAACCATGATGTAATTGGATAGAAAAACCACTCTTGTTGTGCTTTCCAAAAGAGTGAATATCAACCTTATTCCAGTGTTTACGTCATGATTTGAGGGAGAAACCATGATTTAATAAAAATAGACAGTAGTACTATCTTTATAGTATAGATATAGAACATGAATTTAAACTAAACCAACTAAAAAGACATCATGCTTGTTTATAGAAGCACTGGTAATGCTATTTTCCATTGTAATCCAATAGCAGGGATGCAGTTTTACAACTATAGACTGTAAATATTAACGGACGTTGTCACGTCTATCTCCGCCGTTCCAACTAATGTGCCACAACTTCCGCGGTCTATGGGCAGTTTCAAAATGGCTGCGGGGGCTGGAAAATGTGAAAAAACGCATCTGCGCATGCGTCAGCCGGTACGAGCCCCATTCATTTAAACGAATATTTCACAACAAGTAAACTAGACTGGTCCAAAAAAATTCACTCCCCTCAGCATTGACACACATGTGGAATGTAGCTTTGAGCCAAGAGCTGACTTTTGGTTTTCTAGAGGTAAGAAGATGCTATATGTTAGCATTGGCTAATTCTTAGTCCGGGTC